CTATTCAGGTCTGCCTCATGGGCGCGTAGATCCATTTCTTATCATTCTGGTCGACCGATTACATTCGGTTCCAGTCTCGGTGTACGTTTTATTCCAAGAGCTAACTCTGCCTTTTTCTAATCTCCTGTTTATTACATTTATTTACTCAAGGATGTCAATGGCCTCCGTAACTTCAGTTTCCTTGTGTTTTAATCGTATAAGGCTCTTCTTTCTGTTGTCTTGCAATTGATATCGTGCCAATATGTACCATGTCTTCTGCTATAACCGATCTTTCGGTATTCATTTTCCTGCAAAGCCTTTGATGTACCTTGATTCGTACGCTGATTTTCCTACCTGTTTGGCTAATATATCATTGTTTGAGGACCCTGGTTGAAGGGGTTTCTGAGGTGACTTCATCTAATCATCAGTAAGATGATGGGAATAAGTTGGTGAATTTATCATCACTTCCTCTTCATCATAAAACCACTACGCTCCTGAAGAAAGGACTAAACTTTTCTTTTCAAAATGACAGAAATCTTCTAGAAGATATTCTGATGAAGGCCACAAATATCTCCGAAAAGTTTCCTCAGAGCACAATAAGAAAAATAGAGATGGAAATAATCCCAAGAATCTTGATACATCATGAACCGACACACATGAACAGATTTGCGAGGATACTCAGCACTCTAGAAATGAATGAACAATTGGTTCTTTAGGCGGACAAAGGAGAAGCGATAGTGAGAATGGTAGGGAAGCAATATCGTGAGAAGATGGAATGTATGCGGTTTAACAAGTCTACATATCGTGTAATAAAGAAGGACCCAATTATGAAGAAAAATTGAACCTTACATGACAGGCTGAAAAAACGATATAAACGATGTACGACCACCAACAGCCTACAGGTTACCTAAGATAGACAAAGAAGGGGAACCACAAGAGCTGATAGTCAACAACAATATCTATCAACACACTAAAAAAGGTAAGCGCCAGGTTATGAAGCAAAGCGAAGCATTCATATACATTTTCTCAAAGGATCAAAAACGTGGTAAGTTTTGAAATACCCTTTATGTACGCAAAAATCTCTGGAGAAAAGGCGCCAACGACCCTGCTGGATATCTTGGAAGCAGAGGATGAGGAGGGAGTAGTTAACACGACTTACCAACTTGACAATAAGTACTACCTATTTAACATTCAACGGCATCTTTAAACAGACATTTACTCTTCCAATGGGATCGCCGCTCTCAGCTCTATTGGCAAATGCATACGTAAATAAATTGAAAGAGAATTTCAAGACGTCACCGCTGCAACCAAGGGTGCTTATGCGGCACCTGGATGTCTTTTGTCAACCAAAAAGATAATAAACAAATCTACAAGCCCATAAGGAGGGTTAGAAGGCCTGAGTGGGATCAGTAAATTGAGGGGGAAGTGAGGGCAAAGCAAGCAGCAGGCCTAATGACGCTACACTAGACTTGCCAAAAAGGTCACATTTGTTGAGGAGTGAAATGTAAACAAGTCAGAAGTGAGACAAGAGGGTAGGGTGTAGATAGATGAGCCATGACAGAAATAAAAGTGATGGCACAACTATTTTGGCAGAAAGTAGATGAAGCGATTAACTTCACTTGTCTGTGACGAATTGTAGCATGATAATGAAGACTACGATACCGGCGAAACATCTGTGAATTTACCAAGTCAACGATCCGACGCTAGAAAATATGATAGCTATATAGCAGAGGACTTCGGGCAAGGTGCATCCAAAGAAATTGTCCTGAAAACACAACCAAGTCGCAAAATCCAGACCAGCACACTACATGCCATTTTTCGTTTATGAGTATGTTTTCGAGACTACCAGTAGATCAGATGTATGAGATACATTCGCCCTATTTTGTTTAAAGTGATACAGTTTGAATTTGTCCACAGTCATATGAATAGACCTTAAGTCCCAATTCCATTCCGCATAGCCTTGTCTCCAAAATGTATTCAAATTCTGTTTGGAGTGGACTGTAGCTTAGATCAGGCCTCAACTGGTCTCATCACCATCCTCAGCGGGACTCGAAACATAACAGTGCAGCGTATAATCTTGACACGTTAACCACTATTACTGTTCGAGCCTCGATGCAGATGGTGTGAACAGTTCGGGTGAGGTCAAAACTGCAATCCGCTCTTGCCTGAATGAAAATGCCTTTTGGGAAGCAATAATATGCGAAAGTCAATGGAAATGTATGGCTAAATGGTGTGATTTTATGAAAGTTCAACTACCGGTCATTCATCATCTTGACGAAATTAGGTGAATACATTTCATATAAAAGATGCAATCGTCACCGAATCTGTATGCTTACATATGGAAATATTTGAGTGTTAGTACACTTACAACGGGAGTCAGAGACGATCAACCAAAATCGCAGCTTAAAACTTTGCTGATCAGTGATAGATAAATCCAAAGCTGCTTGTATCTGAGGTAGATGAGCTTCTGTATTCATACCATGATTTGGCAGAATAGACATGCTTAACTACTTTATAAATGCTCCAGAAAAAGAAAAGTAAAAAAACACTAAATCCGCCCCCGGCCACAACATGAGGGAGCATGAGAGATAAAGCCAGCTTTTGGTAAATAGAAGAGACGGCTGGGAAAGTGAAACTGGTATTTACAATCTGGTAAACGAACAATTGAGTCCGGCCCCTGCAGGCCAGGCGAAACTAGGCCTGGAAGTGTGCAAGTGGGCTCTTCCGTCCCAAAGTAGGTCCAACGAAATAGAAGACTCGATAGGATGCATTAGCTTCCAAAAGTGAAGAATCCCAAAGTATTATACTAAGTTCTATTGACGCTATTTCGGCTAAGGTGATAAGGTGACTGGTAGTTGAAGTTTCTCAGTCATATGAGTAGACACTACGTTTCCATTGAATTTGGCATAGCCATAGGTATTCTCATCCAGGCAGAAATGGACTGCAGTTTTGACCTCGCCTAGGTCTAATCAACACCCCCAGCAGGACTCGAACAATGACATTGCAGCGTATAATCTCGATACGTTAATAAATAAGTCATCGCGCCACGAGTGCCCTTGGGTGAAAGGGCATATGCAAATTTTAAGGAAAGTCAAACCTTTCACATATCCAATTCCTTAGTGGGATTGTCAATTGAGCAAAGTTGTATTTGCCATAGGAATCGACTACATCACTCATTTTTCGTTTAATAAGTGGGTTGTCCTGCTCGGGGTGCCGACTCCTAGACGAGGTCGAAACTGCAGTCCATTCCAGGCCAGATGAGAACACTTTCTTGGAAAGCAAGGCTATGCGAAATTCAGTGGAAACGCCATAGGGTGAATAAAACTTTTATCCAAGATCTAGTAGTAGCCTTATACTCCTACTTATAACGAAAATATCCTTTTATGACCTACGTGGACTCACAACTACGATTACGCAGTGCAGTAAAGTCATGCGGAAGAGTTAATTGACTTTCTGAGCAAAGGGGTAGAAATGTAGAATTGGGTTGAG